GGCTTAGCACCTCATACGCTGCATGGCCCATAATGGGTGCCTTATGAGAGTTTGTAGGAGGTGCTGGGATTTCCTGGAGGACCATGGTGAGGATTTGCTTGGGCCTGGGTGGGATGCGCCGCCCGGATGATATTTCTCCCGCTTGGGATGGCCAAGGTTCCCTGGGCCTGGAGGAGGATTCCAGAAAAGGCTCGCTCTTTCCACTGGAGTTGGGAGCTCTGAAGCCACCATACCTGATTCCTTCCAGCCAGCGTACAGAAGAGCTTGAGAAGGCTGGGGTGTATCTCCCCTGGGAATTTGCATGTGGTGACTCCTTCACAGTGGGGGATGTCTCCTCACTCAGGCTGCTCTTCTCTGCTTAGATAGACCAGAACAGTCTTTTTAAAGAACCTTTAGGAAGGGTGTTAGCACCATTGGGGTTTCTCAGGAAGGAAGCTGCTTTTCCGACTATTTTTTCAGTCGAACTTTCACTGACAAGATCAGGCAGGAAAAAGCCCCGTTGGCCATCAGCCCAGCACACCAGGCAGTATTTGTAGCAGACTGCATTGCCCGTGGGCAGCTGTGACTTTAAAAACAAGCTGGACGTCATGCTGAGCAGTATTCCCTGAAGCAAACAATGGAGGTGGTGTCCGCGTTCCACCCTCCTAGACAGTCATACTACCGGCAAAGGATGCTTAAAAATACCCTAGAATTTCTGGACTTTTCCAGATGTGTTCAAAGGGGCTAAGAATAGAGGCTGGACCTGGGGTTGTTTTTTTCTTGGTTTGGAGAACTCCTGGGTAAGGAAGCAGGTGGCACTTTATAGTATGAGGGAATTGCCTGGGGGCAGTGACTTGTGCAGAGTCACTCCAAAACCAACTCTGTTGATGACAACCGTGCTGCCTTTCGCTGTTCTTTTTGGTATGTTTTTTTTTTTTCATTTGGTTTTCCTGAACAGCCTGAAATAAGTACGGCGTGTGTTATCATGAGATCTTTGATCCTATGTGACATGTCCAAGGTCACACAGTTGGTGTCAGACCCAGTTCTTTTTATTCTAAGTTGTTGATCCTCTACAGTTATAGACCTCCTTTTAGTCAATCAATAAGCATTTGTTAAGTACCTACTATGTGCCAGGTGCCTTGCTAAGCGCTGAGGGTACAAAGAAAGACAAAAGCTAGCTCTGGCTCTCACAGACCTCACAGTCTACTCTGAGCTTCCAAGAGTCTAACTCCTTTCCCTTCCCTTCCCTCCTTAGCCTTCCCCTTCCCCTCCATCTTTCCTCTTCTTCTCCCTTCCTGTGCCCTCTTTAAATACTTAAAATTTCAACTAATCAGTCAGTCAGCAAAAGTTCCTACTACATGTCATGCACTGTGCTGGGAGATGAGGATGCAGATGTAAAAATGACATGGTCCTTGCCCTTGAGAATCCTGTATTCCAAAAGGGGGATACAATAGGAGGAGGGCTCCAGTGGCCAAGGAAGGGAGTTGTAGTCTAGGCCATGAATTCTTAAGCTGTTTTGTGTCATAGACCCCTTTGGTTTTCTGGCAAAGCCTATGGATCCTTCCTTAGAGTAATGTTTGTAAATGCATAAAGTGAAATTCGTAGGATTACATGAGAAACCAATGATATCAGAATACAGTCATTAAAATATTTTTAAAAATGAATTCACAGACCCCAGGTTAAAAACCTCTGATCTAGACAGTTATACAGATTGTGGAAAAAGGCAGTAGATTATGATGCCCTATCACGTAGCAGTAAACAGCCTATTTACAGGTACAGAGACAGGTTAGGGCCAAATTGTCAAGTGCTCTAAAAGTTAAGCAGAGAAGCCTGGATTTGATTCTAAATGAAATAGGGGTAACAATACTATTACTCCTCTTCCTCCTCCTCCTCCTCCTCCTCCTCCTCCTCCTCCTCCTCCTCCTACTACTACTACTAATAATAATAACATTTATATAATGCTTTAAGGTTTTATAAAGCACTTGAAAACTCACAGTGCAGCAAATAGCACCTCGGAGGTAGGTACTATTATTATTCCCATTTTACGGATGAGGAAACTGAGGCAAGCAGAGGTTAAATAACTTGCCCAGGGTCACACAGCTAGTAGGTGTCTGAGATAAGATTTGAACATGGGTCTTTCTGACTCCAGGGCCAGTGCCACCTAGCTCCCACTATAAATTGCAGAGAAAGTGCTGACCTATGTTGGTAGTGGAAATTTCCCTATCCCTTATCCCTAGTAGGTAACTGGGTTTGTTTGTTGGTTTTTTTTTTTTTAAAGTGTTGACTATTATATTAATTTTATTTTTTATTTTTATTTTCAGTTCCAAATTTTTTCTCTCTCTCCTACCCCACGTTAAGAAGTTAAGAAATATGATTCTCATTATACATATGAAGTTATGCAAAACATATTTCCACATTAGTCATGTTGAGAAAGAAAAAAATAAAGAGGAAAAAAAATCTGCTTCATTCTGTACCCAGAGTTCATCAGTTCTCCCTCTGGAAGTGAGTAACATTTTTCATCAAGAATCCTTCAGAACTGTGGTGGATCATTGTTCATACAAGTCTTCCCAAGTTTTTCTGAAACTATCCTGCTCATCATTTCTTATAGCACAATAGTGCTTCCTCACAATCATATACCACAACTTGTTCAGCCATTCCCCAATTAATGTACATCACTTTAATTTCAAATTCTTTGCCACCATAAAATGAGCTTCTATAAACAGTTTTGTACATATAGGTCCTTTTTCTTTGCTCTCTTTGGGGTATAGACCTGGTGGTAGAACTTGGGGTCAAAGGATATACATAATTTTATAGCCTGTGAATGTAGTTCCAGATTGGTCTCCAGAATAGTTGGACTAGTTCACAGTTCCACCAATGGGTACTTTATTCTTCATAGTAGTTAACTCTTTTGCATTATGGATATCACATTCTAAGCCCTCTACTTCTTTACTGTGGTAGCTGCTAAATCTCGCATGATCTTGACTATGGCTCAACAGTATTTGAATTATTTCTTTCTAGTTGCTTGAAGTATTTTCTTCTTAACCTAGGAGCTTTAGATTTTGGCTATAGTATTCCTGGGAGTTTTCATTTTGAAATTTCTTTAAAGAGGTAATTGGTAGGTTCTTTGAATTTCAACTTTGCCCTCTGTGCAAAGGTATCTGGGCAGTTTTTCTTTATAATTTCTTGAAATATGATGTCTAGGCTGATTTTTTGTTAATCATGGCTTTCAGGTAGTTTCAGGTAGTCCATTAATTCTTAAATTATCTCTCCTCAATTTATTTTTCAGGTCAAATTTTTTTTTTCCTGTGAGATATTTCAAGTTTTCTTCTATTTCTTCAGTCTTGGACTTTGTTTTATTGTTTCTTGATGTCTAATGGAATCATGGATATAACCAGGTCCTTTCAGGGTTTATACAGAAGGGATGGAAGGCAATCTCAAGAGGGGAGGTTCTAGCAGCTGGGGGACCAGGAGAAGACTCCTGTAGAGGAAGATGGGCTTTGAACTGCATTGTGAAGGAGGCCAGAAGGCAAAGGTGAGGAAGGAAAGCTGGGACGGGGATGGACAGTGAAAGCCACAGGGCCGGGAGATTGTAGCTAGATTGTAGAGCATATGGAGGGTAGTTATGGGCGAGAGGACTATGATGATAGGAAAGGGCCAGGTTGTAAATGCTAACTAAACACCAGGCTTATGTCGTATCATGGAGGTCATTGAGAGTCACCAGAGTCTGTTGTGCAGGGGAGTGGCGCATAGCTTTCCCTACCCTTTGAGAAATAACTTTGGCAACTGAGTGGAGGATGATTGGGAGTAGAGGCCATTGCCACGTGGCTGAAAGTCTGCATACATCTTCCTTTCATTTGCAGTTCAGCTCTGGGCAACAGCACAATGAGCTCAGAAGACGTAACGTTTGCAGACGTGCAGCCATTGCACCTTTAGAATGTTGGTGAATTTCCATTGGATCCAAGCCCACCTGAAGGCCATTTCCTCTAGCAAAACCCAGTGACTCTGGGTGCAGCTGGCTGCCTTCTGCCTGCTCAGCGCTGCTAAGTGTTCCATTAAAGGGTCGGGCTGTGGGAGTACTTTCCTACCCAAGGCAGATTATACGAGTACAGCACAAACCCGTGTCTAAAGTTTCAATGACACTGTGACTGAACGCCAGCTTCGCAAATGTTTGCATCTGAGAAAGAACAGATATTCACCTCCATCGCTAATAATCCCCCAAGCCCACTGAACTCCGAATTTGAAGTTTGGTTTTTGTAAAGGATTAAAGATGTGACTGGGATGCACGGTCTGATTTCCCTTTGGTTTATCATGACACAGCAGTCTGAAAGGAAGCCTGCTACGGAGGATAGAGGAGTCAGGAAGACCCAGGTGTGCATCTCACCTCCAGCACACACTGACTGTGCAGCTTTGGGCAAGTCACCTAGCCTCTCGCTGTTCTAGGCAACACTAAGGCTGTCAATTACAAGTTCCTGATTTATGTCAGCAGAGGGAGTTTCACATTGGGATTTCCATTGGACAGTCCGCTTAACCTCGCTCAGACTCAGGTAGCTCTCTTAGATCTAAGTTATAAACTGTTTACGAGCATAAAATCAAGCATCTAAAGAAACCTATCACATGACCTGTCTTTAATAGTAATAAAAATGATAATAATAATAATAATAATGATGATGATGATGATGATGATAGGTGACGTGTCTATAGCACTTTATAGTTTGCCATGCGTTTTATATCCTTTATCTTAATTCTCCTCACAATGGCCCTGAGAGGTAAGTGTGGTTATCTTCCTTTAACAGGTGGAGGAAATGACATTCAAAGGATAAGTGACTCGCCCAGGGTCACGCAGCTAGGAAGTGCTTAGGCAGGACGCAGGTCTTGCTGACTCCAGTCCAGTGCTCTGGACCACGCCTTCTGACATCTTCTAGCAAATCTCTCCTTCATCCCACTTTTCCATAGAATCCCCTGATTCCAGAGTGTCCTCTTTCCATCCCTAACTGGCTCAACCTGTCTTCTGCCCCCTCCAGGCTTTGATGCGACCTGGGAGATTTGACCGGATCATCTACGTCCCCTTACCTGACACAGCCACGAGGAGGGAGATATTCAAGCTGCAGTTTTCCTCTAAGCCAGTCGGTCCGGATGTCGACCTGGAAGAACTCGTTTGTCAGACAGATACCTACTCAGGGGCTGAGGTAAGCTGAGCCTTCTCTTCCCTGGGAAATGAACATGGGGAAATAGCTGGGGGCTTTTCTGGTTGGCTGCCAAGATACTTGAAATTACTCTACTGAGCCTGAGGTTTCACCTCATACCAGGCAAATTGGCAAAGATGATTAAAAAAAAAAAATGGGAACAGTCGTGGCTGGAGGGCCTGTGGGAAGACAGGTATGCTAATGTGCTGTGGGTGGAGCTGTGAAATGATCCAACTGTGTATCAATTTAGAATTATACAAGAAAAGTGAATGATCTTACTTGAGGGCAGATATCCCGGAGAAGTCCTAAGACTATGGGGTCAAAGATCTAGAACGGGGGAGGGATTCTACTTCTTCCAGTTCCCTCATTTTACAAATGAGTAAACTGAGACCTGGGGAGGGGAAGTAACTTGGCCACAGTCACACCGGTAGTGATTGTCGGAAATGTGACTCGAACCCGTGTCTTCTGCCTCATTCCGTCGTACAGTGTTCCACACTGTTCCTTCCATTCTACAAAGGTCCAAACTATACATAGTAAGAAGTCTGTGGTAACTCCAATTTGGGAGCAAAGTGGGTGCCCCTCAACTGGGGAATGATTAAATCAACACAACAGAATATTACTGTACAATAAGAATGGTGAATGTGAGGAATTCAGAGAAATGTGGGAAGATTTATATGAACTGATGCAGGACAACCATAAGAACAACATATACTATGAGTACAGCATGAAGAGAAGAAAAAACATCCCTCAGTGGAAGTCAACATTAAGTAATGGAAAAATCCATGACGGTCCCAGAAGAGGGGTGATGAGACATCTGGGGTGGGGCAGGGTGGGCTGTGAAATGCCCATTATGCAGAGGCAAAAGTCTCCAATGAAACGCTGATGGGCGTGGGAGCTTTGACCTGCTCTGTTGCTGACCTGGGCTGGTGTGCTTAGACACCGTAGACAGTTTGTTGTCCACACCCACCTCCCCCCCTCTCCCCCGACCCCTTGCTTCTGGGGGTTCTCCATACTGATGCCAAGTTCAGTGTGGATGCCCAGTCCCAGAGCCTACTGCATCTCAGAACTCCTGAGCTCAAGGAGATCTGCCAGCACTGGCCTTTCAGCATGTGCCCATTGCAACTTTGCGGCGTGTTGCTTCCAAGCGTAATCTTTCAAGTCACAGACACATTACAGCCTGCATGAGTGCGCCCAGAGAAGTCACATGCTGCAGAAGGGCGGGAGAGGAAGGAGTAATCCTGCAGCCAGAGGGATCCATTCTACCGCCATACTTGACAGGCCTTCCGCAAACCTCCACACCAGAGGGATGTTGAGGCAGACACAATACGGAATTTGGAGTTAGAAGCCTTAGGTTCAAATCCTGACTCTCTTGCTGACTACCTGTAAGATCTTTGGAAAATCACTGAACTCTCAGGCCCTGAATTTTCTTAGCCATAAAAAGAAAAGATTAGATTAGGTGACTTCTCATATCCTTTCCAACTCTAGATCTATAACACTAATGTCTACTCTTACCTAAGGCCTGTCTCTCTTGAATACGCAGTCAGCAGAGAAGCATTACTGTCTGCTGAAACGAGCAGAAGAATGAGGTTCTAGTCTTGATGTCACTGTTTACTGTGTTGACTTTGACATTTTCCTTAACGATGCCCGACCTGTTTATTTATTCATTCGGAAAGCATTTTACTGTGTGTCAGGCACTGTGCCTAGTACCGGAAATTCAAAATAAGCCATTACCTGCCTTCAGTGCTTTTATTCCCTTGGGAGGAAATGTGGACATTGATAAAGTCAAGGAATTTAAGTCCAGACTAATTTTCAGAGGGAGAGTGTTTTCTAAATCTTCTAAGGAAGTATTGAGAAATGTAAGAGATGATGATGGTGATGATGGTGATGATGATGATGGTGGTGGTGATGATGGTGATGTTGGTGATGATGATGGTGATGATGGTGATGGTGATGGTGGTGGTGATGATGATGATGGTGATGGTGATGATGGTGATGGTGTTGGTGATGATGATGGTGGTGATGATGATGGTGATGATGGTGGTGATGATGATGGTGGTGATGGTGATGATGATGATGGTGGTGATGGTGATGGTGATGATGGTGATGGTGATGATGGTGGTGATGATGATGGTGATGATGGTGATGATGGTGATGGTGATGATGGTGGTGATGATGGTGGTGGTGATGATGGTGGTGATGATGATGATGGTGGTGATGATGGTGATGATGGTGATGGTGATGATGGTGGTGATGATGGTGATGGTGATGATGGTGGTGATGATGATGGTGATGATGGTGATGATGATGATGGTGATGGTGATGGTGGTGATGGTGATGGTGATGATGATGATGGTGATGGTGATGATGGTGGTGGTGATGATGATGATGGTGATACCTGAAACCCACCAGCTTCCAAATCCACAGGTTGCTTTTGCCTGGAATGGTTTTGCTCTTTGGTTCTGTCCCTTACAAGCCCTTGTTCTTTGAGGTTAATTCAGTTCAATTCTCTTGTCCTGCTGATGCCTTTCCTCTTTCTCCTAATTGTTGTTGTTCCATCCCCCAGAAGGAAAAAAAAATTGTATTCTTTTTATAACATCCATAGATTGGAAGCCTCTTGGGGGCAGGGGCTGCTTTGTTTTTAATTTTTGTATCTTCAGCGTCTGGTGGTGATAGCAGCCACTTAGTAAACCCCTTCAATTGCTTTGCCCTGGGGCTTGTGGCCATGTGGCTATTTCTGCTCTCTGTTCCATATCCGTGGAGAGAAGAGACAACATTCAGCACTATTATCTGTGGGCCTTTCCCACTCTGAAATAATGTGCTATCAGTATATGGAAAGACAAAGCAGAATGAAAACCCAGCCAAGGGCCAGTCTTGATTTGGAAGTATAACACAATGCCTGGCACATAGTAGGCACTTAATAAATGCTTATTGACCTGTTAATTCAGGGCAAAATGTCTTTTGGTGCTAAGAGTCCTTCTACCAACTTGTTAGTTTTTCTTTGGTACGTGGCTTATTTAGTATAAAATATACGTGTTGAGGTAGGTAGCACTCTGGACTTGGTGACTGGAAGATCTGAGTTCAAATTCAGCATCAGACACTTACCAGCTATAAATACTAGGCTAGGACAAAATAAGGCTCCTCTCACCTTGTCATGGGCCCATGAGCAGCCCCAACAATATTTTTTAGATCATTGTACCTTAGATTCACCTACTGCCACCAGAATAAAATAATCAGTCAGCTGAAAACCCAACCTGCCCCTATAGGGTCTTTATACATTAGAAATAATATGCACATTGGTTTAATTAACTTTTTTGTCTGCTACATGGACGTGTATTTGGCAAAATCAGGGGGACTTAAGCTGCTGGCATCCTGTCTGTTTTTAGAAATGGTGGTGTGAAAAAAAAAAAAAGATGGTGGTATGGAGCCTGTAATTCACAAAATCTTTTCTATCCTTGGGAATTTATAGAAGGGGAACCTTTCTGTAAGGTCTGAAGAAGGGTAAGGTTTGACCCTTACAAGTTTGTGGGGAGAGGGTGTTATTTTAACTATCTTTAGGCTTTCATTTGAGTTGTGCCCCATCTGCTTTGTGTCACAGTCCAACCCTAAACTTAGATCCTGTTAGCCTCTTTGTCCTTCTCATCACCAAAAAATATCACAGAAAATTCTCCCTTGCATGTCATGGGGGGAGGTACATCCCAGAGGGAGGTAAGTGTGTCCCCATGTGGATAGAGATGCTGGCACTGAGGGCCAGCTGCCAAGTGGGCTTGACGTGCACACACAACATCCATCACTCTCTCCTCCCTTCCCTGCTCCCCTTGGTTGGGGAGCTGGATTGTCTTCTGCTGGATTGGGCTTCCTTGCTCATGGGAGAACATGTGACCATTGACATGTAGTTAGAGCTTCATTCATTCCAAGAGAGAGCAACAGCTGTCTTTGGGTGAGCAACCTTGTTTTCTTTCATTTAGATTTTTTTTTTTGGCTTTTATAATTATTAATAGCAAATGTCATTTCGTTCTATGATTTATTTATTTATTCTTTCATTGATTCGTTCCTCTTTCATGGAGTTGCCCTGTCTGTTTTGGAAACTGTCTCAGGAGCTTTCAGAAAAAAGGAGAGATACATGCGTGCATATGAGTCACAGCTGGGACCAATTCCAGTGGGCTGTGTGTAAAGAAGAGTAGGAGAAATGGAAAATGAAATACATTAGTTGCACTTCGCTGTTGAAAGTATTCTTCTGCTATTGATTGAAGGCTCCTATGAGTCAATGTTCGTTGTTTTCAGGGCTAGCACAGCCAAAGGAGAATAGGTACTGAGCCTGAAGACCAAGTATCAACTATACATCCTAACGCTAGAGGCCTTCTCGTCCCACTGTCTTATTTTAAAGGGGAGGAGACGGAAGCTCAGGAAAATGAAATCACTTGTCCAAGCTCACTTAGATATTAAGAGTCAGGGGTAGGATGTGAACCCGGGCTTTCTGACTCCAGAGCCAGGCTGCCTGCATAAACCTCGGGTACCTGTTGTTCTAGGTGTGTGGTCCCCAAAGTAGGAGACATCACACCCCCAGGGTGTCGCAGGGCATTTACATTTTCGACCTAATCTACTTAATAAATAGGATTGTCAGGTATCTCTTTTAGCCCAGGGTCGCCTGGCAGAAATCCCCAAGATGCCAAGGGTACCATGAACTGAGGAAATGTGGGAACCAGTTTGTTACTGGATAAGAAGTAGAGATAGTGAGTAATGGAACAGATGAGGCGCCAAATTAACCCCGTAACCTAGTGTTTGAAAAGCCCAAAGATCCTAGTGATTCGGGCAAAAACTCACTGTTTTTTCTCCCAAAAACTTTTGGGAGAACAGAAAAGTAGGCAGAAAATAGGCTTACACCAACGTCTCGCACTGTGTGCCAAGAAAAGCTCAAAATGGGTACGTGATTTAGATGTAAAAGGTGATTTCATAAGCAAATTGGGGGGGGGCATGGAAAAATTATCTATCAGATCTGGGGATAC